ACAGCAGCCTAGATCTGGCCCACATCTGGCCCGAAGGAAGCCATGTGTAGGCCTACAGATGTGTTCCTGATCTTGCCTGTGTGGAAGCCATGTAGGCCTACCAGATGTGAGCCGGATCTGGGCCGTGTGGAAGCCATGTAGGCCTACCAGATGTGCGCCGGATGGGGCTGACACGAGGCTGTTGTCTGGACTGCAATAAGTACCCAAACAGCAACATAGTGTCAGCCCAGATCTGTGCTGTGTGGAATCCATGTGTACCAGATCTGGGCCGACACTATATTGCTGTCTGGATAACATCTGAACATAAATAATATTTCCTGTCAGATGTTAAATAGACATTCAGAAACATCTTTAAGAGGTATACTGTATGTAAGCCTGATTTTTTATACATGTTTATCAAATATTTGTAACAATGAGGTCACTCTTTCCGCTGGAACTAGACTCACGTACGGCCATTACCAGTGATTATAGTTTATAAAGTTATAAACATGGATATTTGTCTCACAAAATCACGTGGCTTTGCTTCAGAAGGCTTTTATTAAACCCCTGGAGTCGTGTATGACTTTTTATAATGGATGAACGTTCTTGGGCTTCAAAAAAAGAGCCAGGATATTTTTTAATATACCTCCAATTGTGTTCAGCTGAAAGAAGAAATTCATATACACCAGGATGCCTTGAGGGTGAGTAAATCATGGGCTAATTTTCTTGTCTTTTGTGTGTGTGTGTGTGTGTGTGTGTGCGTGTGTGTGTGTGTGTGTGTGTGTGGTGTGTGTGTGTGGTGTGTGTGTGTGTGTGTGTGTGTGTGTGTGTGTGTGTGTGTGTGTGTGTGTGTGTGTGAGAGAGAGAGAGAGAGCTAAGCCTGTAATGAGTGCTGAGGAGAATGCCTGCATCTGACAGGAAGGGGCTTTTTATTGCAATAATATGGGGGAATACAGGGTCATACAAAACACTTGAATCTATAGAAAATTAAGATTTTTCTGCATCTTGTATAAAAAAATCATCTAAAATACATCTAATACATCAAGTAGCCTATCCTTTTCAACTGCTAAGATGTCTTAACAGCTTTACAATTGTTCTGTATTGAAGTCAGAGTCGTAAAAAAAAACTTTAAGTCGGTTGAAAAAAGTCTACCATTTGGTACATACATTTTGCTTTATGTAGCCTATATGATAGGCTATTTACCAAATAAAATTAGAATTTTAATTATAGCCTATCTATTCCCAATAAACCGGTATCGCAATCCAAAAACAAAACCATTAGGCTATATCAGTCAGTTATAGTGACAAATTTGTAAAACACACACACAAAAAAACAGAAACTTTAGAATGGATCGAAATAATTTGGCATTCAAAAATATTCTAAAGTGAGTTTCGTTGACTTATTTAGGAATTACATAGCTAATTATTCATATCCGACCACAAATTCTGAAAAAAGGGATTGAAAATTCTCTCTTGACTCTATTTCATCAGTGCGTTAGGTGAAACACTTCTTGAGTTGGTATGACAGGGAGGGTGTGCTAATCACCTGAGAGCTGCGCGCGCATCCGCTGCACCGGCGTCAATCCGCTTACGGGGTTTCTCCCGCTGTGGCTCGGGATAACACACACCACTCGTCGGCGATTTGTTTCGGTCTGAGCTAAACTTCACCGCTTCTGGATAAAAACACTGAAGGAAGAAGTAAACCAAGCCGTGTCGAACATGAACGCGTGATTATCGCCCTCGTCTCGTTGCTGTCCTGCCCGTGTCGCGGTGTGTATCGGCGCTGAGAGCACTGTCCGCGGGCATGGCCTCGGTCACCTCGATAGAGGCCGTGAAGAGGAAGATCCAGGGCCTCCAGCAGCAGGCGGATGATGCCGAGGACAGGGCAGAAACACTGCAGAGAGAGCTGGACCTGGAGCGGCAGGGCAGGGAGAGAGTGAGTGAGATAGAGACACACACACTGTGAAGCTCTTCATACACACCGTGTCCGTGCAAGAGCAACACCAGACTGCTGTGTGTAGGAAGGGGCCTTCATAGGCCTGGGGATTTCACGCTGGGGTCCGGGGCCACAAGGGACTGACAGGGGAAAATCTATTTAAAAAAAAAAAAAAAAACTGTAAAAAATAATAGTATTTATTGATACGAGTACAATAAATATGGAAATAAATTAGATTAAAACATGATTGTAATAAAAAGATTAAGTTAATGATATATTAAATAATCTAGATTCAAATAAATGAATGACAATTTTGATTAATATAAATAAAACTAAATATTAAGTAACTACAATACTATAGTTGAGTGGCTTAATAGAATTATAGATTTAATTTTTTCTGTGTGTAAATTTGGTGTTTGTAAAAGATGCCTTTTCCATGTTAGGATGAGGGTCCCTCACATGAAGATGGTCATATGTGGGAGTCTGTGGCATCTAAACGATTGAAAACCCCTGTTGTATGACCTCAATATCTTTATTAGATACAGATGGCAAATGTAAAACCGATGTTCTGCAATGTAGTGTCATTGTATGCTCCAATTTTCTTAAACCAAATCAAAACATTAATTTCACTTAATAAACACATTATCCAGATATCAGTATCCATTTAGGTAAACCAAACAGTGAATGAAACGATATCAGCAAAAGATGTTTGTGCTCGAGGTTGAACAGATGAACAGAGGATTAGAGTTCATATTGAGGCCAGGGGTGACGCACAGACTCAAATCATCTCTCTCACATCAAACTTCAGCTCTTTCTAGTTTCTCTGGTGGACCTATTGATGATATCTGAAACAAGTGGTCAGTTAAAACAAGGGATTATGCAGTTTTCACCCCCTGAAGGTGGACACTTGCGTTCAACTGACCCAGAACAGGATAATCCTCTTGTGTTCTTGTCATCCTGTAAGAAAAGTGGTGGTTGTTTACATCAGGATAGACAGTCACAGGAATGAAAACAAGGGACAAAATCTCAGTAAAACAGTTGTGAAAATGACATGCGTGCCATTGTAAAGTCTACCAGGGTCTGAAATTAACGGGGTCTAAATGCCAAAATTAATAAATACATAAATACAATAAATAAAGGTCTAAATTAATAAATGCCCCCAAAGACCAAAATATGGTGGAAAAAAAAGTCTCTGTGCAAGTTCTTGTTTTTAAAATATCACACAGGCAAGAGTGCTGTTTGCCAGAATATCAGCGCGTTTGCATGTGATATTAATTTTATACAACAGTTTAACAAACAATTATGTTAATAGGCTATTATATGGTCTATTATATGGTCTGTTTTTGCTCTATTTAGCCAACAACAATAGATCCTAACATCAGGACACGATTTCAGTTTTGTTACTGGATGAATCAACGTTTATGAAAGAATCGTTGTAATGAATGACTCTGCGACTGGCTCACTTGAATCAGTCGCTTTGAACCAAACACTTGAGTGAATGATTCAATGACTAACTTAAAGGAGTAGTTCATTTTTAAAAAAAAAAAAACTTTTGCTGATAATTTACTCACCCCCATGTCATCCAAGATATCCATGTCATTCTTTCTTCAGTTCATTAAGAAATTAATGTTTTTGTTGAAAACATTCCAGGATTTTTTTCCATTTAATGGACTTCAATGGAAACCAAACAGTTCAATGTCCAAAAGACAGTTTCAGTGCAAACTGTTCAAAGGGCTTTAAACGATTCCAGATGATGAATAAGGGTCTTATCAAGCGAAACGATCGCTCATTTAAAAAAATAAATAACAAAGTTTAAGTTTTATAAGCTCAAATGGTCGCCTTGCTCTGTTCTGTGATGCACGATCGTGACTCTCCTATTCGAACTCGTTCATCAAAATGAACGAACTTTTCCCGAGTCAACTCTTTCATTTCGTTCGTTGAATGAACCAAATGACACGGAAAAAGATGCGTTCATTTTGATGAACGAGTTAGAAAACAGGAGAGTCTGGTTAAAGAAATATAATGTGTTTATAAGTAGACTATAAAGAACAAAATATGAGATAATATTGTAAATATAACAGAGATAAAGTAACAGCAGCCACGTTGCATCTCTCTTTTCTTCCTCTGTTAAAAATGAACTTTTATTACAAAAATGCATCATAAGTCAATGCTTTTCAAAGCTTTGTTTTGGTTGTGCTTTTGGCTCTGACCAGCTCTAAAATATAAATCATTATTCTTTGTTTATTAAAGTGTATTTGGGTAAATTAATAATACGTTATCTGAAAGTAGAGATTTAATTAAGTGAAGATAAAATTACATGTGCATAAATTACAGACAGTTACATGAATTAT